AAAAAAGGAATAATTTGAAACAATTTTCTGACTTAGGTAGACCAGCCACGGTAAACATCCAGGACTTTGAAACCCCTGGGTCGGATTGTCTTAATAGACGGTATTTTGTACCTTGGGCCGTCCTCTGACTAAAAACAAATCCGTCCGGGCACAGGAGCGTCCCCCGCAGCACCAGTCGTGCCAGGCAGGACTCTGAACTTACTCTTTCCCAACTGGTTGAGGGCTGCCCATACTAAGTCGACTCGCCGGCGTACCTTGTAGACACCTGCCCGGGCCGAAATGGTCTAGGACAAGGTAAGGGAGGTCGGAGGGAGAGGGCAAAGTGGCAGACGAGTAGGTCCGTTGTGACCAGGTCCAGAGGCCCTGCGGTGTTATAAGGTAGGGGCGATCGTCCTCCACCGACCCTGTTGTAAGTCGGGACCAAAAGACAGGTCTGGTCGTTGATGTAATAGTGCGCTGTGATATTGGATCTTCGTTCATGGTATCTTTTACAAGCGCCGTACAAATACACTAAAAAACAATCCACAAAATGAAGGTGGATCTAGTTCACGCTGGTGGCGGCAGCAGGACTCAGGCTGGCTCGAGCAGACACTAAACCATAACAATCGTATTGTATTGGGGAAAGGCCTCAGGGCCCAGTGTTAAAGTTAAGTTAAAGCCTTTTATTTTCATTATACAAAAAATACAACGAGAGTGCAACTCTGTCCCAGTGTGCAAAAACTCACCATACATAACATTAAAAACACGGCAGAAGCAATCATAGGGGGGAATACATAGTTAAAAATATTGATATAAAAATAGTTTTTAATTTTTAAAGTGTGTATATGTGTGAAGATGGTTACGGTTATTGCATTAAATGTGGTGGTTAAGCAGCCTGACGGCCCAGGGGTGTGTTAGTGTGTATGACTGGAAAGCTGCTTGCATATGAAGACTGTTGCTTTAGACTCAAATAAAATTTAAATGTAATAGTTCCATCCGTACAAGGTGCCTAAGAGTCTCTAACAGTGAGGTCATGTTACTCAAGTTGAATATAAAAGAGATCCAGTTTGAAGCTGCTGGGCTCTGATTCCCACCTCCACAGGGGAAGGTACTATCATCTGTGAGAACAGATGCTGATACAACACTGGGACTATGCCTGCTTGGCTTTGCTTAGCGTCATTGTGGTGTAACATTTAATGTCAATTTAATGTATATAGGTCTTTACATTTGATGTACTTTATTTATTAGTTTCCATTACCACAAAACACATTTTGCTGAAATGGTTTAAGTATTTTTTGCAGGAAATGGACACTGAAATCAACTCTTGAAAAAGTAAGTATTGTCTTTAAATGCATAATGTTTTTAACTGTTCTATTGAATTAACCAACGTTATGTTTGATTTGTATTAGTGATTGTTAGTATTTAATTTTGTATTGGGATCTAGAATCAATTGCAATGAGTAACAGAATTATGCCTAATATATAACAATGCACATTATTTCGCCCTACTGTATCACTATTAAAGCTTCTAACATGTTTTTGTCTCTCTCATTTAGGTATCATCCATTTAAACAGAATGGAAAGCAACAAGACAAGTGATATCATAGAGATCCAAGGCTTTGACATATCTCCAGGGTTCATCTACCCTCTATTTTTCTTACTGCTGTTTGTGTACCTAACCTTGCTCTTCTCTAACATTGGAGTCCTAGTGCTTATCATCACTGAGAAGAGTTTGCAGCAGCCCATGTACATTCTCTTTTGTAACCTGTCTGTCAATGATCTAATAGGGAACACAGTGCTACTGCCTCAGCTGATGGCTCACATCATCTCAACAGAACGCTTCATCACCTACAACCAGTGTGTGGTCCAAGCCTTCTACAGCCACACGTTTGGATCAGCCTCACATATGATCCTGATTATTATGGCAATTGACAGATATGTGGCGATATGTCATCCTTTGAGGTACAGCTCAATCATGACTACCAAAACTTTGATTGCACTATCAGCCAGTGCGTGGGGGGTGTCCTTGGTGCTGGTGTCAGTTTTGATAGGTCTGACAGTGAGGCTCTCCCGTTGTAGATCCTTTATTCAAAATGCTTACTGTGACAACGCATCACTCTTCAAGCTTTCTTGTGAGGATGTGTCCATCAACAATATTTATGGACTCTTCTTCACTGTGCTGCTTTTTAGTTGCTCAATGGGAGGTATTGCTGTCACATACTTCAGAATAGCTGTCATTTGCTGGGTCAAGAAAAACAAAGAGATGAGAAGCAGAGCACTTCAGACCTGTGCCAGCCACCTTGTTCTATATCTCATCATGCTCTGGTCAGGGTTTTTAACTATCATATTGCATCGTTTCCCAAATTACCCAGATTTAAGGAAAATTGCTTACATTTTATTCCATGTGGTCCCTGCTAACTTAAATCCGATTATTTATGGGATGCAAACAAGGTCATTGCGTGAAAAGATTATTCAAATTATGCAAAGACAAGTAACTCCAACCTAATCTGTCTTCTGTTAACTTGTATCTGGAACATGATAATATTTATACATGTATATGCTTGTCTACCCTTCTGTATAAACTTATTTTGTATATCTCGGCGATATTAAACAAGGAAACATCTGTTACCAAAGTTAATGGTAACATATTTGCCCCGTTTGTTTTGTTTGTTTGCTCACCATGTAAGCGGCCTTGGGTCCCTTGAAAGGCACTATACAAATGTAATCTATTAATAATGTGGTTTATGGATGAATATTAATAGCAATTGGCTTTTTTTTACAACATGGGAAATTACTTTATCCCTCATAAAGTGTGCCGACAGTAAAATGAGCGTCTACACTGGCCCCTGTGTGCCAAGATCTTTACCAACCTCTTCTGTCTTTATGCTTGTATAGCATGCAAATACTAAAACCACAATGTCCATTCTTGTCCCTAAACTGTTCATATAATAGGGATGATTAATGAGCATAACATTTGTGTATTCGTGTTTTTGTTTTCATTGAGTTTCAGGTATAATAGCAATGTTTCATGTAATCTAGATATTGACAGACATACATTGAAAATAAGATGTAAATACTGTGTTGGTGTATATTACAATACCTAATACTAAATACCTGTACTTATACTGGTATTTGGTATTGGGCCTTCCAAATTACAAAAAAATGTTTCTTGGCCTGTTAATGCTGTAAAGACTAATTATATTTATCAACTTTTTACTCTTTCCATTTACGGAATTTTACTCTTTCCATTTATAACAAAAAAGGCCCAAAATAGGTCATATCAGTTGTTCAGTTGCTGTCCAGTGCATCTCAGTTAAATCGTTAACGTTTTTTCCAAATCCAAAATTGTTTAAAACACAGTTCTGATGATTAAGCATTGTATCTCCCTTTTGTTTGAGATTATAGAGTTTTGCCGGATCAGATTAAAACGTATCAATTTGAAGTACATGGTGCTGATAGGGGATTAAACAGATAATCCATATAAGCTTTATTGAGATATTGTTTTCTCCTGCTATGAATTTATGTACAGAAGCTTTCCTGGTGATATCTCTGAACACATTTACTATTCTGTAAAGTTGGGTTATTCTCTCCGATTCATGTCATGAGGGTAAAGTCACATTTTCCCTAATGAGGGCTTAATACAATACTTATTATTTTCGACCTCCTAAAGTCTTTTACAAATGTAAATTATTCTAACCTCAAACTATTTCATGTCTGGTGTGTTGTTTCGTTTCATCATTGTCATTTTGACTGTATCACTAAAAATATATAAATTGGTTTCAAAATGACTTTTTTATCTTTTACCCTACTTATGAGACAGACTTTCCATTACCCATAATGTAAATAAATAGAACAAATATATTTTAATATCAGATGTATTTATCAGTTCATGTTGCTTTATAAATCCCTTGGCCTATTGTTTCAGAAACAAATAAATAAATGTATGGACACAAATCAATATTTCATCATTTAGGTTAAAATCACAACATTGTGTAAATAGCGTCAGTAGACAATGTGATTGATTTGCTACAATGGGACCTGAATTTGGGATTGTAAATTGTCAACAACAACACTTATTTACAAAAATGTATTTAAGATATAATTCTACTTTTGTATTAGTTAGGACTGCAGTAGGATGGATCACATGGTCTGAGGAAAAAGTGCAATCTGAATGTAAATTAAACTACTGCTAAGTACATTACTTAATGACTTATTATAAACTTTTATAATCTCTGTGTTGGGTACACCATAAACACTTTCATGAAGTCTCGTCTCCAGTCTTCAGTTAGATGGCTTTGCCCATGATGAGAAGGCTCATTAAAAACACCATAATGAAAAATATCCACATGAAAAAGCGATCTAAAACTTTGGCTACTTTCTTCCACTCCCCAGTCCTTTTCTGTGTCGCCCTCTGATCCCTGTAACAGTTGGCTATGTACTCAATGTTATGCATTAGTTGCCTCTCGTTGCTTTGACTGTTGCAGAAAACCTCTCCGTCTTTTCTCTCTCCATCACTCACACCCCCCTTCCGGCATCTCCTCTGACCCTGGGAATCTCCACAGTCCATGCTCATGAAAATACCATTCATCCGAGTGCAGTAGTTGTTGGTTGGGTTTTTCCCGATGGAGCCAGCTGGGCTCATCATCTGATCCATGTCCTCCCTCTCCTCTGTGGTCATGGAGCGCACTGTCTCTTGTCCTCTGTCCAGTTTGCAGACACACTCCTCTCTGCCTGGTCCTGCCTGACCATTCATGGTGCAGTTGGTGTTCTTTACATGTGGAGGCTCCTGCTTCTCGGGCTGTGGTGACAAGCAGTTCTCCCCAACCTCATAAACAAAGCACATTCTGGCCAAGTACTGCAGAATGACCTTCTTGGCCCACTTGGGAACAGGCTCGGCATCCGGGCCACAATGGTGTATGTTCATGATGAAGATGGTCAGGGCAGTGGAGGCAGTGATCATGGTCATCGTTGCAATGTAGTACTTTCCTGTGGATGAATAAGAGGACATCAACATAGAGTTTTAATGCATCTTAATCACACATGTTTGGATTTGTATTACCCTCACCAATAAGTGGCACATTCTCAGAGGGTGGCATGATCTCTGCCACCAACAGCTGAAAGACAGTGAGTGCCAGCATAACAGTGACACCTAAAGACACCTTCTCTCCAGAATCAGCAGGCAGGTAAAAGCCCAGTGGAGCCAGAAAAGAGATCATTACACATGGTATAAGGAGGTTAAAGACATAAAATGAAGCTCTTCTCTGTAGTTTCAGTGTGTAGGTCACATCAGGGTAAGGATCAGCACAGCAGCCATACTGAATAATGTTCTTCTTGGCCGGCATACCCAACACCTCCCATTCCACATTATCCACCAGGTCGGCCAGGTCAGCGCTCTCCATGGCGTTCAGGATGTCCACCTGGTTGCCGTTGTATGTCCAGGAGCCATATGTGAACCTGCACTGCTGAGAATCGAAGGGGAAGTAGGACACGTCCACTTTGCAGGAGCTCTTTGTGATAGCAGGGGAATCCCACATGATCTGGCCATCATGCCGGATCACTACATTGGTGTCCATGGAGCCTTTGAAATGGTCATCAGCACTGGAAAAACAAAGAAAACATTGAGTATCATACCAAGAGAAAATGTATTTGTCCATACCATGAAAACTAAATAAAAAAGGAGCAGTTGTGATGTCCTCAGTAGGTCGAGACAACTTGAAAGGTTGATCAGAATACAAAGGCACAAGTACACCAACTGAGGGAAGAGTCAACACATTTATGAGAGTTGTACTCATTGCTCAGTGTTTGTGTCTGCTTTTCATATCTTTTGATTAATGCTAAGTGTTTGTGTTTATGTGTGTCAGCATTTGATAAGTGTTCATAGTGTGAGCTGTTATCCTGAAATGTCATCAGAGGCATAGGATTTATTGCGCACTGGCCTCGCAAATACTCAGGTGATTATTCCTTCCTCCTTCCTCTTCCTCTTTGTCAAACATGTGGTACCTCTGTCTTAATTGTAAAGTTGACATTGCCTTTGTATAAAAAGCAGACAAAGGCCTGGACACTCCTGTGTCAATAATGGCTTCAAGGAGTGTTCAGCTTGTGCCTTTTATACCAACCAAAAGGAGCCACTCTGATTAACCCAATACCAAACCGACCTACTTGTTATATAGGACAATATCAGGTCTCCATACATAACTACCAGGTATGCGGATGGTATCGAGTCCATCGTAATCATCTTTATTCCATTGAACGTGTGAATCAACCCACACTTGACGTATCCATAAGTACGCAGTCAAAATTTGGTTTCGCTCATCCTGTAAAACATTGAAATTAATAGAAAACAATTGGCAACAACAGGGGAAAGAGTGCAGGTTGAACAGAAATATGTTTTTTTTTAAATATTCAATAATTTTGTGGGTATCTGTATAACACATTAGAGCTGCACGATATTGGAAAAAACTGACATTGCAATATTTTCTTCCCCTGCGATATGAAAAAATACAGGAATTGAAGAAAAGACCGTTTTTTTTGTCCGCAAACCATCCTTTCTTGAACTTTAATACTATACAATTGGTATTTTTTTAACAATATTTAACCGGATGAAGGATTTTAGTAACGGACTTCTGGATCGTAAGTTATCAGAGCAACAAGCTGAGCTAGCTCGGTTATCCTGCTGTGATCTGATCAAGAATGGTTGTGATTGGTGGTTTGCTTTGCATGCAGAGCCTGCATGTCACTCACTCAAGTACCCCTGNCACACACACACACACACACACACACACACACACACACACACACACACACACAGCCAGAGAATGTTTGGTAAATGGCACCCGGTCGGAAAATGTAATTGCTTGAACTTTAGAGAAGCGACTGCAGCTTCTGAAATACCCACGGGAGCCATCAGCCCAGTGTTTTACAGCACACACACACACACACACACACACACACACACACACACACACACACACACACACACACACACACATACAGTACACACTCACACAACCACCAACCTCCCTGTCAGCAAGTGCAGTACTTTAAGTAGTAATAACCGCTCTAGCTGTTAGGGTGAAGAGAAAGAGGGAGCCTGGAGAGGACACATGCATAAAGAGGAAGAACAGCAGCGCTTTAATCTCTTTCAGTCTCAATGTTATTCTTCCCGAGATGGCTAGCACCTCTTAGAGAAAATGGGTTCTGTACGTCCACAGTTATAGAAATACTTCGTCCATAATATACCTCGACTCTTAGGTCACTTCATCAATTTTACACATGAAGTTCAGTTTAAACATCTAGAGGAATTCTACTCAGAAAGAGAGTACAAAGCTTTCTCAAATTGGAGAAATAACCCCTGATTCTACATCTGCTGTCCTCAGAAAGGAGGAAGCTACAAATGCTCCAATTAAGGTCATACCATTTATCTAAATAGCAATATATGAATGCAATATCCAAAGGTAAACATCTTGAAAATAGAATTCTAAATCAATGAAGTCCCTGCAATATTAGGCATCATAATTACAATAAGTTGCTTTCTCCAAATTGTGCTTTCCTAGTTTGAATCCCTTCATTCACCAAGTGTTTCATATATAGGTAATTGTGGCGTTTTTATTTTAACGTTGCTCAACAGGGAATCATTTTGAAATTGAATTTAAAAGAAAAATAGTGAGAATATCCAATAACTAGAAAGGCATTAGGTGAGGGCAGACCCCTGGAAATGTTGTTATATACAGTAATAAGAAATAATATGCAATTATTTGACGCATAATTAAAATCCCCTCTAAAATGTATGGTTACTTCTTTTTGTCAATGCTACAGTCTCCCACCACATTTCAAGAACATTCAGATGGCCAAACCTTAGGTCAAAAAGTGTTTTGGTGTCCAGTTAAAAAGGTGGGTTTTCAGTCTGAGATGAAAGATGTGAAGCCTTTCTGCTGTCCGGATATCAATGAGGAGCACATGCCACCATTTTGGAGGCAGGATAGAAAACATGCGCGCTTTAGTTAAGAGATACCTGTTCACACTCGCAGTAAAAGAGAAGCCAATTGGTGGAGTTGATCATTGATTATCAGCTTAAATAAACTGCCGACCCCTAATAACTGACCATATCACACAACTGGATTACTGTAAAACAATGTAATCTGACAATTCTACAGAGCAGGCAGTTTATACAGACCCCCCCCCCC